AGCGTAAAAGATTATTTGTGATATCTGTAACAACAGAAATATGAAACAAAAATACTGGTGATTTCTCTCGGTGATGAAGTCCCATGTACACGCAATATTACTGTGGTTCGTGGCCACCATTCACACCAGAAAGAAATTCTAAATTTCAGTTAGAAGTTGATGAAAATAAAGATGTCATTTCTTTTACCATCTGTCTTAGTTATCGAGTGCCGCTATAATAGAAATACCCACCAGTGGATGGCTTTAACAAACAGAAAATTATTCTCTCACAGTCTAGGAAGCTAGAAGTCTGAATTCAGGGTGCCAGCTCCAGGGGAAGGCTTTTTCTCTCTGTTGGCTCTGGGGGAAGGTTCTTGTCATCAATGTTCCCCTGCTCTAGGAGGTTCTCGGAGCAGGGACCCCAGGTTTAAAGAAGGCGTTGCTCTTGGCACTTCTTTCTTAGGGTTAATGAGGTCCCCTGTCTCTCTGCTCATGTCTCTTTTTTATATCTCAGAGAAGATCGGCTGAAAATACAACCTAATCTTGTAGATCGACTCCTGCCTCAGTAACATAACTGCTGCTAATCTTGCCTCCTTAAATCACAGAGGTAGGATTTACGACATATTGGAAAATCACATCAGATGACAAAATGGTGGATGATCACACAATACTGGTAATCATGGCCTAGCCAAGTTGACGTACATTTTTGGGGGATGCAATTCAATCCATAACATCATCCCAGTTCATACACTCCTTAACTTTCATCCTTGACCCCCTAAGTTTGAAGACGTAACAGTTTTGTTGAAAATATTTGAACTGCAAAATAATCTCAATCTTTCTGAAAAAGGAGAAACCATTTTGGTTGCAAGTTCTCAGCAAATGGAAGTTTTCCAACTTGACACCAGGGAAATGGCACCTGCCCTTTGCTCCCCCAAATGAAATACAGTCCACTTCCTTCTGCGTCCACAAGCTGTTTAGTAGCTGAATGTGTTTGGACCCTAATAACTAATTCAAGATTTGAAAGGCAGTTGGAAGACACAATTATTGGGTGCTCCTGCTATCTCACATTTCAGAGTAGCCATATAAATCCTGAACAGATCAAATGTCTTCCTTGGACTCCTTCCAATATTCTGAAATAGAACTAGATCAAGAAGGATTATAAATTCAGGATCAAGTACACAAGATAATCAGGGTATATAGAGAGAGGGAAAAAGAAAATAATATTAATGAGCATCTGCAATGTACAAGGCGCTTTACACAGATTATCTCATTTTATCCTTAAAAATAGCCTGAAACTGAACACAAATTTATGATAAAAACTCATAGCAAACTAGGACTAGAAAGACTCTTCCTTAAATTGATAAGGAATGCCTACAGGAGACATTATACTTAATAAGAAAATGTTGAAAGCTTTCTTCAATGATTGAGAACAAGACAAAAATTCCCAGTATCCTCACATCTAATAAGCATTGTACTAGAGGTCCTAGTTCAGTATAAGACAAGAAAAAGAAATAAAAAGCATAAGAACTGGAAAGGAAGAAACAAAACTGTCATTATTCACAATGGTCATGATTGTATATGTAGAATATCCAGAAATATCTGTAGACAAACTAGTAGAATTAATTAATAAATACAAGAAAGCTCTGGATACAAGGTCAATATTGTATTTCTAGATACCAGCATCAAATAAATATAAAATGAATTTTAAAAAAATACCAGAAATTAGTGATTACCAGGGATTGGAGGTAGAGGAGGGGTGGACTACAAAAGGACAGCATGAAGGAATTTTTTTTTTAGGGTGATGGAGTTATTCTGTATCTTGATTTTAGGGGTAGTTACACAATTGTATGCATTTGTCAAAACTTGTACAATTTTACACCACAATGAGTGTATGTTATTGAATGTAAATGTGAAAAGTGAATTAAAAGAATTGAATTTAAAGACTCAAGTACTTAGGAATAAATCTATTAAAAATGTGCAAGACCTCTATACTAAAAACCTTAGCACATTACTGAGAGAAATTAAAGACTACTAAAATACATGGAGAATACCATTTTCATGGACTAGAAAACACAATAATGAAAACTGTCAATTTTCCCCAAGTGGATCTTTTGATTCTTTTTACTCCCAATTGAAATTTTAATTTCTTTTTTTCAGAAATTGACATTTTGATTCTAAAATTTACATGGAAATGCAAACGGCCAGGAAAACTTACATGATCTAATATCGAGATTATTAGAAATCTACTGTAATTAACCACCACCTGCCTGTCAGTTTGTCATACTATGGTGGGTTGCATGTTGCTATGACACTGGAAGTTACACCACCAATATTTCAAATACCAGTAATGTCACCCATGGTGGACAGGTTTCAGTGGAGCTTCCAGAATAAGACAGACTATGAAGAAAGGACTGATGACCTACTCTGAAATTAGCCAATGAAAACCCTATGGATCACAGCAGAACATTGCCTGATACAGTGCTGGAAGATGAGCCCCCGGGGTTGGAAGGCACTTAAAATATACAGTGGCTGCAACAATGGATCTGAGCACACCACAATTGTGGCGATGGTGCAGGACAGACAACATTTTGTTCTGTTGTACATGGGGTCACCATGAATCAGAGCCAACTCGATGGCAACTAACAATAACAACTGTAATTAAAACAGCATAGTATTGGCATAAGGACAGGCCAGAATAGAGTATAGAAACAGACCCACATATACATGGCCACCTGATTCATGACAAAGATGGCACTGCACTGCTCTGAAGAAAGCACAATCTTTTTAGTACAATGGTTTTCTGTCAGCTGGATAGCCAAATGGGAAAAAAAATGGATGTTATCCCCTACCTCATATGATAACACAAAAATAAATTTCAGATGGATAACAGATCAAAATGTAAAAGATGAAACAATGATGCTTTTAGATGAAGACATAGGAGAGCATGTTGATGGCTTGGAGTAGGCAAAAATTTCTTAGTGGACATTAAAAGCACTAACCATAAATGGAAAGAAATGGTAAATTGGGCAACATTAAGATGAAGGATTTCTGTTCATCAAAAAGCATCATTAATAGAGGGAAAAGACAACTCATAGAATGGGAAGATATTTGCAATACATAGTTCCAACAACTGAATCATCTTTCAGAACATATAAACAACTCCTACAAAACAAAAGACAGAAAATCTAATAGAAGAAAATGATTTAAAGAGGCCTTTTACGTAAGAGAATAGTCAAATGGCCAATAAACATTTGATAAGGTTCAGCTTCATTCTTTATCAGGGAAATGCAATTTGAAACCATAATGTGATGTTACTGCACACCCACCAGAAGGAAAAAAAATTATAAAACCAAGTGTTGGAAACTATATGGAGCAACCAAAATTCTCATACACTGCTGGTTGGGGCATAAACTGGTACAACTGCTTTGGAAAATTGGAAGTATCACTAAGGCAGAACACATGCAGACCCTTTGATCCAGCAATTCCACTCCTAGGAATATAACCAACAGAAGTTCATGAACATGTGTGCATCAAAGACATATACAAAAATGTTCATAGCAGCACTATTCATGAGAACCAAAAACTGGAAACAACTCAGATGTTCAGCAAGAGTAGAATGGAAGAATTAATGACCATTTATTCACCCAATGGAATACGAAATAACAATGAGAATAAACAAACTACAACTACGTACAACAATATAGATGAATCTCACAAACGTAATGTTGAGCTAAAGGGGCCAAACACAAAAGTGGACATTTATGATTCTATTTTATAAAGGTCAAAATCAGGCAAAATAATCTAAATCTATGGCATAGTGCCTGGAAGAGGGCAAGAGGGAAGCTTCTGGGATACTGAAAATGCCGTTTGTTTGTTTTTTAAATCTGGGTAGTGGTTATCTGAACGTGTTTGGTTTGTGAAGGTAAATCCACCAAGTTGTACACTTACAATTTGTGCATTTTTCTCTAGGTACGTCATACTTCAGCAACTAGTTTTTAAAAAAGAAAAGACTAAGTAATCTGAGAAAAGGCTATTATTCCCCCTCCCCTCCCATTCTAGAGATGAGGAAACCAAAGCTTGTAGCAGATAATTAACTGGCTCAAAGTCAGACAGTTGCATTGATAGAGTCAGAATTTACCCAGGCCTGACTACAGTGTTTTTCTCTTTCCTCTGGGGGAGTGTCTTAGTCATCTAGTGCTGCTATAACAGAAACACAACAAGTGGACGGTTTTATTGAAGAGAAGTTTATTTCCTCATAATGAAAGTAGGCTAAAAGTCCAAATTCAAGGTGTCAGCTCCAGGGGAAGGCTTTCTCTCTCTCGGCCTTCTCATCAGTGTTCCCCCAGACTAGGAGCTTCTCAGTGCAGGGACCCCTGTCCAAAGGACGTGCTCTGCTCCCGGCATTGCTTTCTTGATGGTATGAGATCCCCCTGTCTCACTGCTCACTTCTGTCTTTTATATCTCAAGAGATTGCCTCAGGACACAATCCAGTCTTGTAGATCAGGTCCTGCCTTACTAACACAACTGCCACCCATCCTCCCTCATTAACATCATAGAGGCAGGTTTACAACATAAAGGAAAATCACACAGTACCAGGAATCATGGCCTAGCCAAATGGATACACACATTTTTGGGGGGACATAATTCAAACCATGACAGGGAGAATTTCTCAAATTGTGAATCGGCTGTGAATCTTATTAAAAGGTAGATTCTGATTCAGTAAGTCTGGGTAGGACCTGATATTCTGCATTTCTAACAAGCTCCCAAGTGATGCTAATGCTGCTGGTCCAGGGACTACAGTTTGAGAAGCAGGGCTCTGTCCCAAACTGTAACTATAGAATCCTTCCTTTATCTTCAAGATTGTTGTCAACCAGAGTCTTACAGAAGGTGGAGACTCATTGGCTTCATCTTCCACCACCAGCAACTGCCTGTCTGTACATGTTCCAACCAGAGTGGGAGAAAATTGCTTTACATTGTATACGTAGAGCTTCTCTTCTTGACTTTGGCAAAGGGAGAAACATTTATAGATTCTTTATGAAGCTGGCAGTAATATCCACCATCTTCTTGGCACACGGGAAAGAAATCCATTTTAAGCCAAAAGTATTCATAGCTCCATGAAAGCCGTCTTCAATATGGTGCCAGGTCACTGGTACCCCTTGGTCCTCCAGCCTTTTTTTATACAGCAAGGTGTCATCTTGAAAAACATAGTGCTCACAGCTCACAAGACAGGATTTGGGGAGCTGGTGGATGATGTCATCATCAGCAATAAAGGGTGAGTATTTTACGTTAAGGAGCTCTTTGCTCATAGATAGGCTTCCTCCCTAAAAATTCCAGACTCCTTGAAAGTGTAGCTTCTTGTCTTAAACCTCTCAGGTATGTCCTTGGGTTCAACCATTTCCTTATCCTTGCCCTTATGTCCAGAGATAAGTGGGTGCCATTAAAAATACTGTCATTCCAAGAAAGGGAGATACTGAGGTAAGAACACATACCATAAAAAGAACAAACTTCAGGAAGAGGAATTGACGTTTTGTTTCTGCTGGTAGGAAGGCAGTTGGAAGTTGATTAACTGGGGAAGTGGGTAGATGAAGACCTGGGCTTGAATCTTGGGCAGACGCAGCATGCTCAGGAGTCTTTGGCAACCTGAAGCCCCTAGGACTCCTCCAATGCTGTCTCCACAAATAACCACCTGGGATGGATTCACCCTATAGGACTTCAGCGTCTTCAGGAAGAAGATGGAAGCATTCATGCAATCATTATACATAGCTGGGAATGTGTGTTCAGGAACTCTCCAGTATCTGGGGAGAAATCAAAGACCAATTATAAACTTAATCATCTCTCTTCTCACTGATACTCTCACCCCCTCCTTGAACCATTTTCATCCTGCGTTGAAAGGGGGAAAACCCATTAACTTCTACCTATGGACCAGGCACTATAGTAGGCACTTTCGTGATTTGTTCCTTCTTCACAACATCACATATCATGGGCTTGCTCGCTGAGGAGCATAAAGAGGACAGATTACGCATGCGTGATTCTGCAGCCTCTGTCTCTATGTTACCTCAGGACTCAAAGGACCCATGATTGTCGGGTAGGAGAGTTCCAAGACCAGAAACACTATTAGTTCCATTTTTATAGATGAGGAAACAGAAGCTGTGTTTAATTAAGCAATTTGTCCACATTCAGCCAGCTGATAAGTAGCAGAAAGAGCTGGGATACAAATCCAATTCAATTCAAATTCCATTCCAATCCAATTTTATTTAAATCAAATTCAATTCCAATCTGACTCCAAGGCCAAGTTCATTGCTTTCCAACAGACCACCATGGTTCACATATTGCAGAACACATACCAACCACCAAACACCTCTCGCTTCATTTTTCTCAACCCAGACATATTTTAATGATTTCCTATCGTACAGTTCTTGAGAAGACCTGAAAACACATTCTTGCAAGGCAGATTAGGCAAAAATTCTTACTCATTGTGAAGATGGAAAAGCAGAAGCATGGTTTAATAGTGTTTGCTTTATTATTTCAGAATATTCCATTCTGCTGTAATAAAAGAAAAAGAGGATGGATGAAACTCACAAGAAGTGCTAACCATAGATAGAAAGTAAGCTGGTAGCTTGAGACATAGACAAAATTCATAACGTGTCAAGTATAGATAATGAGTAAGCAAGTAGCTTAGAGACACAGAAGACATCATGCAATGTATTAAATACAGACAATGAGTAAGATAGTAACCTGTACAACATATTAAAGATAGAGACCAAAAACAAGTTGCTGTCAGTTGATTCTGACTCATGGTGAGCTCATTGTGTGTCAGAGTAGAAATGTGTTCCATAGGGTTTTTGGAAGTAGTTCACCAGGCCTTTCTTCCAAGGTGCCTCTGGGTAGACTTGAATCGTGAACCTTTTGGTTAGCAGGCAAGTGCATTAACCATTTGCCCCACCCAGGGACTCCAAAGATAAAGAGGATAAATGGAATATTTGATGGAACAAAGAAGAATACCCCTTATAGAAAGGAAGGAATGGAAAGATCAAGTCATAAGCCACTGACAAAGGCAGGCATAGTTTTGAGGTCCTTTCCTTATTGCTGGAGCTGTGCATCTTTTTTCCTGCCTATCACCACCCCACCCTCCTGATTTACACCTCAAAGCCTAGGAATCTTCATGTATCTATGGCTTACCTGGGCGCTAGAATGCTCACTTTGCTTTGCCTACTGAGAATCAACTCCTTAGATTCCTTTTTGAGGACCTAGCTTCTGATCCACTCTTTCTCTGCCCTTGGTCCTTGCCTAGTTCCTCGACTCTGGGGAGACAGCAAGTGACAGGCAATAGGAATCTGGCTTCCAGCAAGTGCAACCAGTGGGTGGTGCAATGTAGGCACCATCCAGGCCTGACAGCAGAACCAGCTGCTCAGGTGAACAGGTAGGAACCAGCTTCCCCTTGTAGATTCATGAACTCAAGTGTTCCCACTTGCTTCACCCATGCTCTGAGACGACTTCCGGCCCAAGTAGGCCATGGCACAGGAGACATGCTCTCAGACACACCCTGGTTTGGCTTCAAGCTCCTCTCTTGCTACCAACACACAGTACATACCACCCAGATGTCTCCTCACCAACTGCCTTAACCAGCCTTCCTTCCCCAGCCCTGGTCTAGCTGGGCTCCTGATTTAACCCTTGTGATTACAGCATCTTGATTTGGTCTCAACTTGGATTTCTGGACTTGACCACTTACCTGCTTGGCCTCTAGTGCACACCTTCCTGCTTCTCCCACCTGGCTGATCTTCCAGAACTTATTTGGCTGTCTGTGTGGCTAATCCTCTCCTCCTTGTTTGGCTTTGCCTTATCCGTAATGACCTTCTCTGAATCAACCACTTATCACATCAGCTCCTTTTCTGTCTAGTTGAATTCTGAGTCTCAGCCCACTTCTCCCTTAATCTGGACCTGTGCTGGCCAGGTCCCCTTGTAAGACCCATTAGATTATTGTTGCAACCATAATGTAATAATAAGGGAAAGGATAAAAAGCCCTTAATGTATGTTTTCTCCTTTGATACTCACCATAACCCTAAAAGGAAGGAGGGATTATCCCATTGACAAAAAAGAAAGAAAGTATGAGTTACTCAGAGAGGGTGATTATTTTGCTCAAGGTCACACAGCACAGGCTACTTCCAGACTTTCTGCCTTTATAACCTTTCTCATCATAAATTAGACCCCCCAGAACCAGCCAACTGTCTACCCTGATGAAGGTCTACTTATTACAGTCAATAAATTTCACGTCTCTGGCTCACATAATGACTTCAACAAAAGTGTCTTTCTTCAAAATGCACAGGCAAGGAGAATTGTCAGAACAAGAAACGTCTGACTTTTGCAAAAGAATAGAGCTGACTGGCACTGAGTCAGCGGCCTGGGGACAACACAATGTATACCCTAAAGGGCTGAGTGATCTCTAGGCAAGCCAGCTTAAACTGAGGAGGGAAACAGTGTTCATGTTAACAAAGCAGTAGGTTTGGGGAAGCAAACGCCTTCATGAAACTGTGTTGTCAAGGAAGAAAAGAAAAATCAATCCCTGGGAACACGTTTACAAAGGATTTATGGTTAGGGTCAAAGGCAGCCACTGACTACAAACTGAAACCATTGCTAAGGACCTCACTCACGTCAGTAAAGTGTTTAGTCAAAGAAGGACTAGCAGATACAGTCAATCCTCATTATTTGTGGATTCTGTATTTTCAAATTCACCTACCCCCTAAAATTTATTTGTAGACCCAAATCAATACTCACAGCTCTTTTGTGCTCATTTGTGGTGATGTGCAGTGCAGTGAGAAATTTGGGTCACCCAATGCATATGCTCCCAGCTGAGGTTGAACAAGGTGACATGCTACCTTCTTGTTGCAGCTCTCATACTATAAACAATGTCCTTTTGGTGCTTTATTTAGTGCCACTGTTTTAAATTTTTATACTTTTTGTTGGTGATTTCGCTGTTTAAAATGGTCCCAAGTGCAGTACTGAAGTGCTGTCTAGTGTCCCTAAACCTTAAGATGGCTGTGATGACCTTATGGAGAAAATACATGTGTTCGATAAGCTTCATTTAAGCATGAGTTATACTGCTGTCAGCCATGAGTTCAATTTTAATGAATCAACAATATGTATTAAATAAGGAGTCTATGGGCAAAATATTGAATGATGCAAAAAGCATCAAAAGAAGATAGAATACACAGAGTTCACTGTACCAAAAAGAATTGATTGTTGTTCAATTATTTCAAGAGGTAGCATAAGATCAAGAACCAATGGTATTGAAGGAAGAAGTCCAAGCTACACTGAAGACATTGGTAAAAAAAACAAGGCTCTAGGAATTGACGGAATACCAGTTGAGATGTTTCAACAAACAGATGCAACACTGGAAGCATACACTTGTCTATGACAAGAAATTTGGAAGACAGATACCTGGCCAACTGACTGAAAAAAATCCATATTTGTGCCCATTCCAGACCAAGGTGATCCAACAGAATAAGGAAATTATCAACCAATATCATTAATAACACATGCAAGTAAAATTTTGCAGAAGATAATTCAAAAATGGTTGCAGCAGTATTTCGACAGGGAATGGCTAGAAATTCAAGCTGGATTCAGAAGAAGACACGGAGTGAGGGATATCATTGATGATGTCCAGTGTATTATGGCTGAAAGCAGAGAATACTAGAAAGATGTTTACCTGTGTTTTATTGACTATGCAAAGGCATCTGACTGTGTGAATCATAATAAATTTTGAATGAGATTGTGAAGAATGGGATTTCCAGAACGCTTAATTGTGCTCATGAGGAACCTGTACATAGATCAAGAGGCAGTCGTTCAAACATGGTTTAAAATCAGGAAAGATGTGCATCAGGGCTGTATCCTTTCACCATACTTACTCAATCTGTATGCTGAGCAAATAATCCAAGAAGCTGGACTATATGAAGAAGAATGCAGCATCAGGATTGGAGGAAGACTAATTAACAACCTGTAATATTCAGATAACACAACCTTGCTTTCTGAAAGTGAAGAGGACTTGAAGCACTTACCAATGAAGATCAAAGACTACAGCCATCAGTATGAATTACACCTGGCGTGGTCAACATGGTGGACTAATTAGATGCTTCCTATATCCTTCTTACAACAAAGACCTGGAAAAACTAGCGATTTGATTCTAAGTGAACATCTGGCAGCCCTGAACAAGGCAAGGTTAAGAAATCCATCTGGGTCATACCAGAGAGGAAGACCGTTTGGAAGAGGTGAGGAGCGCTAGAGCCACGGCTGCAATACTTTAGAGACAGAGCCACGCTGGGCCGTGGTGAATCAGGCAAACAGCTGTGCTGTGCGTGTGCTCGGGAAGAAGTGTCCACATCGAGAGAGACCTGGCAGCAGAGATTCTGCTTGGACACTCCGAACCAGTGAAGAGCAGCTCCCAAGAGGCTAGGATAAGTACATGTGTGCACCCTTTCGCAGCATTTAAAAAAAAAAAAAACCCATTTGGGAAAAACCCCTCTCCCTTTTACCTCCTACCTCTGCGCTCTGCACTGGATTTGGGAAAAACCTCTCTCCCTTTTACCTCCTACCTCCCTGCTCTGCACTGGGACTCCACTGGGCCAGAAGTAGATCCCAAAAGGCACGCTGACCCATTCTCCTGGCCTTGAAGGTAACAAATAAGCTGCTCGC